GGCAGTTGATCTTGATTGTTGGATGGCCTAACGCGGAGGTCATTAAGATGCTCCTCGAAAGTGGTGCGAACAAGAGCGTCGGTCGCAGCCCCGCTTTTTTGAGGCCTCAGCCTCCGAAGTGCTTCAGGTATTACCCAGATTCCTCACCCAGGCCATCGCCAAGTTTCAACATCGCCCTTCGATCTCATGTGTAATGTGAGGGCCGGCACAATGACCTTGAGGCAAAGGCCAGATTCGCTCGACGGCGTGCGCCCAGTGTAGCTTGCAAAGGAAGGGTCGCGTGTCCTATCCCGACCATGAGCTTGCCTATGAAAAGGGGACCTGCGAATCTCATCCCCGATTTGCCACATGTTCGATCTATCGCCAATTGTGCGACGATATGGGGTTGTCTTCAAACCGCAGCCCCAGAAAAAGACCTTCGAAAAGAGAGAAACACCCATGAACAAATCGTTTCGGAGCCAGCTCAGTGCCAACTGGGACCAAGTAAGTGCAATGGTCACAACATTCTTTACTTGGCATGGGAGCTTTGGCCATGGCGCCAATGCTTCGACTGACAGATTTGGTAGCTTGGAGTGGAGGTGTTAGCTCCAGTCACTGGGGGTTCTAGTTCAAACCCAATCCGGTGAATTTAAATGAATTCTAAGACATGGGGTCTAAGGATGCTACACACATGATTGTTCGTTGGCGCCAGCTGGATCCCTTTTTTACACTCCCAGACTAACATGGAAGCTCCCAGAACCCCTTTTGACTGGCCGGTTTCCATCTACAGAGCATCTGGGAGCTTCCATGTTAGTCTGGGGGAGCGTACGACTCGTTTCGTTGCTCCCCTCCCTGAACTGGACGCAGTTCAGCCAGGTCACCATGGAGGTCTGGACAGATCAGCCGGGACTGCAGGCGCACGTCAGAGCCAGTGGCTCCAAGCTCGAAAACGGCTCGGAGGGCAGGCAGTCGGTAGACAGACATCGGTGCCGGAGATCCGCCTTTCCAATTCCAATCTGGTTCTGGGATTGCGACCAAATACCGATCGGTTTTGTTTGTGACTCGCCAACAGGGGGAACCTTTCCTGCTTGGCTTTTTTGGGTTAAATCTCGGTGGTGGTTGGGAAACACTTCTTCCATTTTTTGCTTATTGTGGTTTAGTGGATGAAATCCGACCACTTGGCTGCTAAACTTTGAGAATTTTTGCTCCCCTTACGTCAACCATTGACACCCGGTGAGTTCCAAGGGTGCGTCTTTAAACCGAGCTCCACAGCTCCTGCCTTGCCGCAGGTCTTCACGTGCGGGAACATCGGCACCACGGGTGGGCCGCTTAGAGAACTGGCGAAGTGGCGTGCCAGCGTCAAACGACTGGATCCTTCCAACCCTGGATCCTTTCAACCCTGGAATTTGCACGGAATTATCTATATATACATCCGGCGAGGGAGGCTTTAAACACGAATTATCCTGGGGATGATAGTGGACTGGTTCCTTGGAGGTGGTGGACCCTTTACTCCATTGTAATGAGTACTATCAGCAACGCCTGAGTGACGCTGTCATGGGTAGACTACTGTTGGTTTGAGGAGGATGCGAGAGGGACGACCCAAATTCTCGCGAAAGTAAGGAGACAAACACGTTTTTCATGTCCTCTTGGAGAAACAAGCGTACTGTTGTGCGGGGCTTGTGTGGGACCAACGCAATCCTGTACAGTGTTTTTCAGGATGACCTCATCATGGAGTGCCTGAAGGGGATGCTTAGATCAACTTTCCAGGTGTGATATGCCCTTGAAGGGGCTTCCGGAGAAAGAGTCTTGCCATTTTGCCCGCCATGCGCGTTGCAGTTTGTTGGCTTTGCTCACGAACCCTGTATCCTTGATGGTCTATTAGTCATACAAAGCGGAAAGGAGGAACGGTTGAGAACATGCATGTTGCATACGAACACATCCTTAATGCTTACAGCGATTTGATTCAACAACCATACAAACAAATATGTGTGTGTTTAGCTCGTTCATTTTTGTTTATCCTATTGAGTAGTACGCGAGATAACGATTTCAACGTTTTGCAATATCACAATAGAGTTGGAGTTTGAAAATTTAGAGAATGTGACATGAACTGTCATTTAACATAATTTAAGGCACATTAACCTTATTAATCATTCAGGAACAATACTCGAGCCATGACCATGATACTGTTGCGTCGTCATCTTACATCTTACTCTTCCAAATCGCCCACAGTAATATTAACCCTATATGTTGATACATTTGATACATCTACACGGGCATGTCTTTGTCTAGGGGACACCCCACAAAATGGCCACCCGGTTTCCCTTTTGGTTCCCCTTGACAGCCTGAACAAGGGTACCCTCACAAAAAAAGAGAAAACACCTAAAAAAAATGAACACACACACACACCCATATCATCAACCCGAGGGATATTCTTCAAAAAACAAACGCCCATATCATCAACCCGGAGTGACTCTAAGAAGTGGCGGCCTTTCGCCTGAGGTCCTGGTTCCTGGTGGCGCGGCAAGGTGGGCGCGGGGGAATGTTTCAGGGCCGTGGTTGTCCACCCCCCCCCACCCCCCTCCACCCCTCCGCAAGAGGGGGCGTCAGGCCCCCCAAAAAAAGGCGCCTGGAAGCATCCATGGGGGGACCCTTGACAATCGTAGGATCATTCGAGAAATTCTCCATTGGGGGGAACCCTGTTTTGGAATCCATGTTAGTTGGGAGGGTATGCTTGCGTTTGGTTTTAAAAACCAAAAGGAACGCACGCATTATGGGGGCGCCTATTGTAAAATACCAAGATTTGCATTTTGGGGTCCGCGACATACCAACATTCAGCATGGAACCCCACAAATGTGGTGTCCATGGTGTTTTTGTTTGGAGCGCAAGCAGGTTGACACCCAGAAAAAAAGCACCACGCGAGCTGAGCTCATCGCAGTGGTGTCTACTTGGAGTAAGGGGTAGAAGGATACAACGAGCCTACACCATCGAACGGGGTCGATGTGGGAGTGTGTCAGAACTTGACCCCTTGGGCTGCAACAGGATATGTGAAACAGTCATCTCGGCTTCCTTTTGGTACAGCCCGGGAATGTGCTAAATTGCAGCGCTTGCATGGTTTTAGGTTCCCCAAAGTAATAATTTGGGAAACAAACACACTGATGTATTTCCTGACTTTGTCACTTTTGGGGCAGGTTGGTTAAGCACCCCGGCAAAATAATTGCAAAATTTGCAAAATATGGTGGATGCATCGGTAAGGCACATGTGGGACATGCACCACCCCTGACAGCGAACGCAATGTTCACACGCCTACCAAAGGGTTTCTACTTAAACGGTGTGCTCCAATGATCCACAATCAAAATCTGGGCAGGTGAAGATGTGGGGGCAGGCCCTGGTTTGAAACATGGGGGTTGATCAAAAGGTTCGATGAACATGGCGTGACCATCCGGGAACCCACAATAAAATAATTTGCTTTCACATGGGAAAAGTTACCTATGGTCATTTGGCAAGACACCGACGGCGCGTTTTTTGTTTTTGTTTTTGGCGCGCGTCGCGCCCGTCGGTCGGCCGCCGGCCGGGGATTCGCGTTGCCGCGTTGCGAGTCTCTCAGGGCTGCGAGTGGCAGCAGTTCGGCGCAGTCTGCCTGGAGCCGCAGCTCTGGCCGGACGGAGCCGCAGCCCCAGAAAAGTTGGCTCGCTGCCCGCTTGAGGCTCGCTGCCCGGTTTGGTTGGTTTTAAGGGGACGCCAAGAGGAAACCCGCCAGAGTTGAAAAGTCCCCTACAAAAGGACATCGGGAAAAGTGGGCGGTTTCCCTTTGGCTTTCCAAGAGAAAGCAAGCACAAGAAGGGTACCCTCAAAAAAGACAGACCCATATTGGTGTGTTTCTTCTTCACCGTTTCTTTTTTGTGGAAACGCCTCAGTGGATTTGGGGTCCCCTTATTTTGAAATGCCCATGTCCAGTAGTCTACGGTCAAGTTTGGGAGGGCATTGCGTCACGCCCGGTGACTTTGTATTGCTCCATTGGCAAACCAAATCGGGTCGACCTACACATCCAGTCTTGCCAGTGTTTTCTGTTGCAGAGCGGCCGCTCGAGAGGGCCGCAAGTGGTCAAGGAAAACACACAGCCACACACACACACAAGCAGGCACACACACAGACCCCAGACAGCTGACCCACCAACCCAGCGGTACCCGTTTTGGGCGGTTCTGAAGGGAAAGCAAGGGGAAAACCACGATGTTGGGGGTCCTCCATTTTAGGGGAGCCCCAAAATGGTGTTGTTCCTTTCGGTTTCCCTTTAAAGACACCAAAAAAGGGGGTACCCTCAACATCTAAAGATCAAACTCAGCCGGCCTCTTCTAACTGATGGCTGAGGTGCATCACAAGCACTTTGAAAGCCCTGTTCTACGTCCAGGAGAGACCTACAAGCATCACTCCTGGCACGTTTTTACTGCTCCGGCCTTGGTGTTTTTCATCGCCGGCCACTCACGGCTTTTCTTTGTGAAATCCTGCAGAGACTTTATTCAAATGTGGCGGAAATCCAGCTATCTGCAGGTGCCCCAATGTGCTCCCAACGCTTTTTGCGTGGCTCGCTGCCTTGTTTTTGGGGTTGTGTGAGTGTGATTTATGGCCTGGGACGCATGGGTTGAAAATGGGTGCATCTCCAAATAGGGGTGCCCTGTGCTACGTGGCAAAAGGAGAGGGAAAAGGATTCGAGTGCTATAGGGATCCATTGCTGAGCCCAGGTGCAAGACTGAGCAGCGAGCCGCGTTTGTGGGCAGCGCGGGCTGTCGCGCACAGCACAAGCTGTCGGTGTGTACAGATGCGGAGAGGCCCACGGTGCCGAGTAACGCACCCAAAGACCTGACGAGACGCTCTCCGCGGAAGACCCGAAAGACTTTTCCGTGCACTTTTCATTTATTTTTTGGTTTAACTTGCACTTGCTGGAGAGTGTGTGGCACATCTTGCCTTTCTTACATTGCTCCCTGGTGAGCCGGGCAAGGCTTCTTGTCCAGTTCCCGGAGCGCTAGGCTGGCCTCTACGACGACTTCGTGATGCTGTTAGATTTCAACAGTCTGTACCCGTCCATCATCCAGGAGGGTTGAGAAGCCGCAGCTGGAAAGTCTGAGGGTTCATACTCGCTCATCTATGGGCAGGCATTCAGCCTTTGGCTTGGTACGTCTTGTTTTGCACTGTGGCCTTGAACTACTCAGGACTTCTGCGGTCTATGGCCCGGGCTTTGTCAGCTATCAGCAAAGTTCCTTTGGAGATTCTGAGCTCAGCCTAAGCGCCGTTTTGGACGATGCTTCCATGGAAAGAACGGTTTGCACATCCCCATTTGATGCGCGAGGAGCACAACATTTGCTTCACCACGGTGGATCGGCCCGACGAGAACGAGGTTGCTAAAGCGGCCAACGAGGCCGGCTTTCCGCGGCTGCCTTTTCGTGGGTCACAGTGACAGCGCAACTTCGACCAGCCCAAATCCAACCCACCCCAACCCACCCCAACCTACCCCAACTAGCTAAGTCAACGTATAGGCACGGGCTATCTCCGGTTCCTGTGGGTTTTCCTGTAGCGGATTGTTTCTTTATTCAAGACCCGATGCAGGGGTGTTTCTTCAATGCCTTTTGGAGGGCTTCCAATGGGTTCCCCTCGGTGGAATGGAGCATGTACCCCCTCTCCAATCTAATCGTAAACCGAAATGGATGAGGCCATGTTTTTGTTTGACCTCTCCGATTCCCATGTTTTTTTTTTCCCTTTGGACAAGTACTTAGATGGTCTGGGAGATAGCTAAGTGGCTAAGTGGTTAGTAAGCCTGGTTCCAAGTCCCACTTAGCATGGTTGTAAGTCCCCTTTAACCAGGTTACTAACCATTTAGCTAAGTCCAAGACCATCTAAGTGGTCCCCCAAAATGGCAAGGAGAAAACCGGCGGGTATTGGTCCCCCTGAAAAACTGCAGAAACCAGGAAGCCCAACCAAACAGGGATTTGGTCCCCCAATT